GCTGGATCAAAAACTTAAATGTAAAGCCCAAAACTATAAAATTCATCAAAGATAAAATAGGGGAAAATCTGGGGGCCTTAATTTATGGCATAAATAGAATATCAAGCGTAACCCAGAATGCACAGGAGGTAGAAGAGAAGCTAGAGGACTGGGATCTTTTAAAAATTAAATTCTTATGTACATCGAAAGACTTCGTCAAAGGGATAAAAAGAGAACCTACATATTGGGAGAAAATATTTGCCTATGACATATCTTATAAAGAACTTATCTCCAAAATCTATAGAAAACTTCAACACCTCAGCACCAAAAAGACAAATAATCCAATTCATAAACGGGCAAAAGACTTGAACAGACACTTCACCAAAGAAGATATACAGGCAGCCAACAAACACATGAGAAACTGCTCATGGTCATTCGTCATTAGAGAGATGCAAATCAGAGCAACAATGAGATATCATCTCACCCCAGCAATAGTAGCAAAGTTCAACAAGTCAGAAAATAACAAATGCTGGCGAGGTTGTGGAGATATTGGAACTCTTGTGCACTACTGGTGGGATTGTAAAATGGTAAAACCATTGTGGCAAATGGTATGGCATTTCCTTAAAAAACTGAAATACCATTTGACCCAGCAATTCCATTACTAGGAATATATCCTAAAGAGCTTAGAGACAGTGCATGAACAGACATATGTACACCTATATTCACTGCAGCACAATTCACTATAGCAAAGAGATAGAAACAACCTAAATGTTCATCAACGCATGAGTGGATAACCAAATTATGGTACATGCGCACAATGGAATACTATGCTTGCTACATTAAAGAACAATGAGGGATATGTGAATCATCTCATAATGTGGATGAGCCTGGAGGACATTATGCTGAGTGAAATAAGTCAATTGTAGGAGGACAAGCACTGTATGAGCCCATTATTGTAAAAAGACAAAGAAGGATTTGCTTGTGAAAGGGGATTCACTTTGTAGGTTACCAGGGTGGGGAGGGAAGGGGAAGGATTAATTCCAGGCTAGTTGGGGGCCACATGCTGATGTGGGTAAGAGGAGGGCTGTATGGAAAGGATATGTGACCACCATGATAACATTAGGAAAAGAGAGGACACTGAATTGTGTGCATAGGAGATAGATGACAGCTGCTAATACCAACCAGTGTGTCCACAATATTGCATTACCAGTAGCACCAAACACCAGGCTACAGATAAACACATAAACATCTGAGAGGATCAGATGAGGGTCAGTGAACAGGAGTATGCTCGAGACCAAGGATAGATTCAGCACACGCCAATCTTGCACAGATACCAGTGATACAAAACACTTGCAATCCTTACAGAAACAATAGAAGACAGACACAGAGTAATACCTCACAGACACCCAGACACTATGGGAGAGAGATCCAATAGATCTACCATAGTACTGGGTGACACCAGACTCAATTGGCTCAACAAAATACATGAAAGCCTTGTTCCTCATCCTTCATTGGTGAGTAGCAACTGGGGTCTTAAAAGCTTTCAAGTGGCCATCTAAGATGCACCTAATGGTCTCCCAGCATTGGAAGCAAAGAAGAGTGCAAAAAAAAGGGCATTTGAAATCAATCAGCCCTAAGACACAACAGCCCTCGACACCAGAAGAACTAGATGGTACCCAGCTACCAATGTCAACCACTCAGGAGAGGATCAGATCTGGAGATTCTGGATAGAGTAGGAGGAAAAATGTGGAACAAAATCCAAAAACTCAATAATTATCAGAATTACTGGTCGAATGGTGTCTGGTCAGACCCTCAATACTATGGCCCTGGGATACATTCTGGTCCTGGAATAAAACTCACTCCCAGGGGCTGGCTCTCACCCCAATAGTTAACAAGATGTATATGCAGACCACTCAACCCAGGGTGATGCACCCACATACTCTATGGAAATACATCCCTTAGAGCAATAGATCACGGAGCACCAGAGGGGCAACATTCACATGGAGGAAATGCAGGACAAACAGGAGTACATAACTATGAGGGGCACAGGGGAAGTTTACTGGGCAGGGAGGGGAGGAGACTGGGTTAGGGTTGGGCGTGGTAAATGGGGAGTGAAACTAAATGTATACGTAATGTTGAGTGTAAAACAAACTCTTAAAATAAAAGAAAAGCAGGGATGAGTGGATGAGAGGGAAAATAGTTGGATAGTTAAGAGACAGTTGTTGATATGGGTGGTGAGAAAGTCAATATAACAAAAGCAGGTGAACAGCACACTATCTCCAAGGAAAGGAAGACATGGAGAGGTGCACAAGAGGTACAGACAACAAAGGTAAATACTATCACATACATAATACTGAATTATCAGTAATAGCAAAAACCCATTCTCCAGATGGACACATAGGATGACAGGTAAGAAGATCAGGTATGGATAGGCAACTGGGAATATACCCACAATCACACATGGGTTGGGCAGACAATACTCCTACACATGTATTTGTATGTGATACAAAAATGTCCTTATGCAGTACAAAGCTAACAGGGGACACAGGATAACTTTCTTAGTTGTGACTACAACTAAGCACCTTGGGGAATGAGTTGCTGGGCCTGTGGGCTGGGGACCAGGATTGCAGGAAACATCAAACTCAATTGGCACAACATAGTACACAAAAATATCGTTCTACATCTGTTCTGGTTACTTAGTGCCGCTCTGACAAGAAATATACCACAAATGGGATGACCTTAACAAACAGGAGTTTATTCTCTTACAGTTTGGAAGCTTTGAGTCCAAGTTCAAAGTGCCAGGCTCTAGGGACTGGGTGAAAGCCCCTCAGCATTGGGCTTCAGCTCTGCCTCCAGCTTCTGGCCCACTGAAGCTAGAAGCTTTTCTTCACTCAGACAGCTGTTAGCTGCTTAGGCTGCCAAGTCCAAGGTTGACAAATAACAAGGCACAGTCCCGATATTACAAAATCACATGGCAAGACATTTTTTTTAATTCAAGTCCATTTTAAGTCCCAAGGTTGGCAGATTATGGCAGGCTGCTGAACAATGACATGACTACATGCAGGGTTCAAGGTGCCATAAGCTAGAGACCATTCCCAAGGCTTCTCCTTATATACAGGAAGCAGACCACATCCCAAAGGCAGTTACTCAGCTGCTTGTGGTAGATCCCACCCTGGAGCTGACTGCCAGTCTCGTCATGGGGAATAACTACCCATGTAGTTATTCATGTACCATGTAGCCCAGCTGCTCAACCAGGCCCAGCCAAGTTGACACACAAACATAAGTACCACAACATCTTACTTCAGTGAGTAGTGACTGGGATCTTAAGAGCTTGTGAGCTGCCATCTAAGAGTCAACTATTGGTCTCTCTTTGTCCAGAGCAAAGAAGGGTAAAGTAAATCAAAGATGCATGGAAACAGTTAGTTCAAAGGACTAATTGATCATGAAAACCTCAGCTTATCTGATCCTGAGACCAGAACTAGATGGTGCCTGACTACCAATGCCAAACACTCAGAAATGGATCAAAATTGAAGATCCTGGACAGAGTGGGAGAAAATATGTGGAAGAAAATTAAAACCATAGAAAAGATCAGGTTTACTGGTTGAATGGAGATGGGTGAACCCCCTAAGACTATGGTCCCTTGTCAACTTTAGGGCCTGGAATTGGGCTCACTCCTGCAGCTTAACTGTCAGCCAAACAATAGGGAACAACTACACCAGGGAGATGCACTCCTTAGAGCAATCAACTATGGAAGATCAGAAGGGCAGCATTTGCACAAGGAAAAAGGTAAGGAGGCAGGAATGCACAGGCAAGGACAGAGGGAAAGGGTAACCACAGGGAGTAAGTCAGAGGAGAGCTGTTACACTGTGGCAAATATAATCAGTGTCATAAAACAAAGTGTACATGAATTGTTGAATATAAAAGAAATCTGCTTTGTAAATGCCACCCAAATCACAGTAAAAAGGTAAAAAGAAAATAAAGGCAAATGATAAAAATTTTCTCAATTTTCCATCACAAAACTTATAAACATACTTATACCTGTCCTCCTCTTTTTCTTCTCCCATCTCGTCACTATGGAGGTTGTGTCTATTTACTTGTTTTTTTCTCCCTCCCCATTACTATACTGTTAACTCTATGAACCACCAGGCAATTGCCACTGAGGCAACACCAACTCATGGCAACCCCATGTGTGTCAGAGTAGAACTGTGTTCCATAGGGTTTTCATAAGTAGATCACCAGGCTATTCTTCCAAGGTGAACTTGAATCTCCAAACTTTCTATCAGCAGCTGAGGGTGTTAATTATTTGTACCACCCAAGGATGCCACCTGTTCCTGTCTGTCTCAGCAATGTGCCTAATATAACACCTGGCCCCTCTTCCTCTGATTTCTTTGCTGCCTCCTTTTTTGAAACTTCAAATTTTATTGGTTACACATTTAGGCTTGACCTCTTTTTATCTTCATGTTCTCTTTAGGTGCTCTAATTCATTCATGTGATTTCCAACTCTAGGCACAGCTTCCATGATTTTTTAAAAAAATAAACAAATGACTTAGTAGGAGGCAAAAAGAACATATTGATCATTGTTGATTGTTGGCTTGAGTGACATTATGCATGACTGGTATATCCAGGGGAAGATAATGAATTAAATTTCATTTTGAGTAGTTAGCATAAAGCTTTCACTATCTGCTTTATCCTTTTTCTTGTAATTTTGAAGACAGGGGCATTGGGATTGGAACAGTAGAGAGAAATTCTGTCTCCCAAGAGAAAACAGGGACTGGGTTGAAAGAGGGACAATGTTAAAATGAGGTGAACAATGTTCCCAGGAAGAAGACATTGAGGAATCATCCACTGTGCCTTTTATCTGCTCCAAACAAGGACAGGAAGCTCAATGGAAATTAGTTTCTTCCCATGGGCTGCTTGGTGCACATCTGATAGTGCAAGACAGCTTTGTTCCTAAGTCTTCACTCTCTGGAGTACCTGCAGGTACAGAGTAATTTGATGGATAAGAAACAAGACCTCCTTACCTCCGCTTTCAATGAGGACATCCAAGAGTTCATCCATCTGCTGACTTCGAGTCATCTGCTATTGCAAAAAAAAAAAAAAAAACCAAAAGGAGGGCAGAGGCATCAGAAAGTGGTTACTTCTCTTTTAAGTTGTCATTAGAAGCAGCACTGCAGGTTTTTGAACTATATTTGCTTTAAAGGTTTTGAACTATGTTTGATTAAACCTCAGTATGAATGTTCAACAGGTGAGCAACTGAGGGAAGCAATCTAATACATCAAGAGAAAGGGAAAAAGAAAGTGAAATGATTTCTAGCACAGAGTAGTTTAGAATGCTTAGTTGCTTGAGAGGTTTCCATCCCAGAAAATACAAGTAGTAAGGCACTTTTTCTCACATGTTGTTATCATGCTGATAAGTTTTCAGCAAAACTTCCAGACCAAGACAGAATAGATAGAAAGGCCTAGCAATCTAATTAAAAAAAAAAAAAAAAAGAAAGAAAAAAAAAAATCAGTCAATGAAAACCCTATCACAACAGTCTGATCCCATTGTATATGGGGTTGCCATGAATTGGGGACTGCCTGGATGGCATCTCACAACAGCAACAACAACAAGGCACTTTTTCTCACTTTGAAGGACTTGGGTTCTGCCTGCCTATTTTGTTGCTGTGGATGTGGTCCAAGAACTTGGCTCACATTTTCCTTAGTTCCTCATTATAATACTTGTAGCACCCTCGACACTTACTTGTACAGCATGCCCATACCTCTACCAGCTGTCCCCCAGCTCAGCTGAGTTAAGTAGAGCCTTATTTATAGAGGTACGCTCTATCGGGCCATTTTCTTTTCTTTTGAAACTGTAAATGATCAGTTGATGCTTATATATACCAGAGAATGGGAATGGGCAGAACAAAGGAATACATCCATCTCATTCCTCCATAAGCTCAGTCTCCATAAGCACAGAAATCAGCAGTCCACACAGATAGGAGCACAGATCAAAGGATGAATCAGCTGCAGTTCAGAAGGCATGTACATGCCTACAGGGCCTGGCAGGTAATGTCAATGAGCCAAATCTAGAATAGGAAGGAAAATCTAGAATAGAAGGAGGACTGGGCTGCAGACACATCCCTGCCTCAAGGAGGCAGCAGACACTCTGCTTTAGACAGTTGTCTGGCAAAAATGTGAGCCTAGTGTTGCATGGGCCCCTAATTTTTTGAAAATCAGAAAGCCCACCATTTTGCATGGATGGTGCAAATGTTAATATGATCTGCTACTAACTGAAAGGTTGGCAGCTTGAATCCACCCAGAGACATCTTGGAAGAAAAGCCTGGTGATCTGCGTCTGAAAAATCAGCCATTGGAAACCCTATGGAGTACAGTTCTATTCTGATACACCTGGGGTCGCCGTGAGTCAGAATCAACTCGGGGCAGCTGGTAATGGTAGTACTTTCTGCATAAACTATTATTTTTCAGTGAAATGAAACCTAACTGTAGGCTGGTTTTGATCTGTACAATTCCAATATTTAACAATTAATGTGGATTTTTTTTCTGGGGTATGTGAGAAGAACACATATGAAGAGCTGTCTAATAAGATATGAAACTGAGACCATTTAAAATGTAGTCTCATTCATTATTTTCTTCTTGTTTTGAAAATTTCTAATCACAAGCAAAAGTAGAGAATACAGTGCCCCCCCCCCCAATACATTCATTACCCAGCTGCAACAACTATCCACATTTTGTCAGAAGTTTCCAGGCTAGAAGGTATCATCTTGACAATAGCACATACACATGAGTACTTATCAGGAGCCCAAATAATGTGGCAAGTGCTTTAAGTGCATTATTTAGAATGCTTACGGAGTAGATCCCACCCCTGTTTTACACAAGAGAAGAAAAGTACTTGCCCAAGTTGGCCCAGCTGGCTAGGGGCAGAACAGACATTAAGGCATCTGGATGACCAACCCAGATGTTCTCTCTCTACTCCACACAGCTTCTATATACATGCAATAGCTTTCTACAGTTAGTGTCTAGATATTTTGTTCAATGGGGAGGCATCACACACCACATCAGAATTTACAAACAGCACAAAATTTAAGAATATAAAGCCATGTTTATTGTGTAGTCTACTGTATAAAGATCAGATCATGTGGTTACCTGCTTTACTGCATCTTCATAGGATGGAGGCTGTGTTATCTCTGAAACTGCTGAGCTTGATTTAGAAAAAGGTGGGGATGGGACTGAAAACTTTGGTCCTGCCTTCTCAGAAGAGTGTAAACCAGCCATCTGTGTGGGTGAAATACAGGCAAAGGCAATCAATCAATTCTTGGGTCAGAAAAGATATAGCTTCTGTTTTAGAAGTTACAGGCCAAATTTTGGAAAAGTTCATTTAAGAAAAGAAAAAAAGAGCAGGGCTTGGAAAGTAACTCCAAAATATTAATAATAGTACATGTTGTTGTTGTTGTTATGTGCCATTGAATCAGACCTGACTCATAGAGACCGCTCCTTGGGTTTCCGAGGCCGTATCACTACGGAAGTAGATTGCCCAACCTTCCTTCTGAGGAGTGGCTGATGGGTTTGAACCGCCAGCCTTCTGGTTAGCAGTCAAGTGCCTTAGGCACTATGCTACCAGGGCTACCATAATAGTACATATCAGTAGGAAATTCTTATTGGAGGCATCTTAGAATTGGCATCTCACAGATTCATTTTCCCCTTCTAAAGTACACTGTATTCTGTCAGAGGAAAAGCAAGATGAGAAAAAATAAGAGTACAATCAAATAAAAAGCCATATCCCAATCCATAAACTTCCAGAGTATTTTGTCCTTCATGTCCTTTCATTCCAAACTGTGTATATTTGCAGAGATTAGGGGGCATCACTGGGTTCCTCTTCATGAACCACCTTTGTTTGTTGTGTGTTCTCTTGTAAGAGTGCCTGGGCTTTTTAGAGGTCTCTCTTTCCCAAAGGGAGAGGGCAGGATGTTCAGTGGCAGAATTCTCAGCCTCCATGAAGGGGACTCAGGTTCCACTCCTGGCCAATACACTTCAAGTGCAGCCACCACCCATCTCTCAGTGGAGGCTTGTGTGTTGCTATGATACTGAACAGGTTCTAGTGGTGCTGACAGACTAAGGTTAACTAGGAAGCTAAGCCTGGTGATCTACTTCCAAAAATCAGCCAGTGAAAACTCTCTGGATCTCAACAGTCCAATCTGCAATGGACCATAAGGATAGTATAGGACCAGGCAGCATTTTGTTGTGTTGTGCACAGGTTCACATGAGTCTTGGTATCTGCCAAAACTGGGCTTCCATACGGAAGGTGAGAATTATATACTGAAACGTGGTCATTGCTTCATTTTAGAAATGGATCGTGTTCATGTTAGTCATCATGATTTCTGGGAGGATGCCAGAAAAAAGCTCCCTCTGATACCTTCTAACTTATACCTCCATTTCAATATATTTCTAGTGGACTTTTTTTCCCTAAAAGTTCATTTATTTTTGCTTTTGAACCTAACATTTGCTTTGGAAGACAAGAGAAACACAAGAAAGAAGAGATGAAGTCAATCCCAAGTTTGAACTCTGCCTGCATTTGCCTACCTTTTGCTGTACACCTGGGCTTTTGGGGCAGGTGGTAGCCCCGGCAGCATGACTGCTGTCTGCCTGTACTCCAGAGAAAGAAGGATGGAGGCTAGGATGCTGGGGAGAGAAGCTTGGAGAATGGCCATCGTGTACCCCTGAGTTCTGTAGAGAGGGAAAAGCAACACAGTTAAATTCCTAGCAGTAGACTTTTGTTTGTTTGTTTGTTTTATAAAACAGATTTTTATTATTCTCACGCAGCCATGGTTTTGAAATTTCTTTTAACAGCAGAACATTTTTTTTTTTTTATTAGGATTTGGGTGAAGATTTACAGAGTAAATTCACTTTTCATACAGCAGTTCACATATACTTTATCTCATGTCATTGACCAAAATTTACAATGCAGCACCTCCCCTCCCACTTCCTCCCCATAGTTACCTCCTTCCAGTGTCTATCCCTTCATACTCTTCTGCACCCTGAGCTATCTCCCTGTGCATAAGCAGCCCTTCCTTCTCCCATGATTGTTCTCTCCAGGGCGTGTGTCTACTTGAGGTAAATGTTTAACTCACATGCCTGTACTTTGTTTGGCTGGAAACCACAGTTGTGGGTTCAATTCCAGACCTGAAGGGCAGCTAGTGGCCATAGTCTCAGTGGTTACACCAGGCTCCATTGGACCAGCAAACCTGGTCCCCACCTTCTTCTTCTTTTTTTTTTTTTGCCTCCAAATGATTTTGAGTTTTGTTCCACATTGTTCTCCCTCTTTATGCAGGATCTCCTACATCCCTTCCAAGTGGATGGCAGTGGTAGCTGGGCACCATCTAGTTCTTCTGGTCTCATAGTTGTATAGGTTGCAGATCGGACTGATTGTTTCCATTAATTTTGGTTTTCTTCTTTCTTCTTGACGAGGAGAGACCTGTTGTTGCATCTAGATGGCAGCTTCCTAGCTTTTAAGGTGCCAGTCGCTACTCGCCAAAGTAGTAGGTGGAACAATGTTTTGTATAGTATGTTATGCCAATTGAGCTTGATGTCCCCTGTGACTATGGTCCCAAGCCCGCAGGATCAACTACTCGGTCCCTCTGGGTAGCTGGCTGTGACCAAGCAATGACCATAACCTTGCCCCTTGTCAGCTCTACTATACACCCAGCAGAACATTTTTATAAAAATTTCATGCTGAAGATTTGCATACAAAACAGATAACAGTATAGCTACACTGGTTGAAGCAGGGCTGAAACATGTAGAAGAGGTTTTGTGATAAGGGGTCATTGGTCTTAATCTCAACACCAAACACATGAAGAACATTAGGATATTACCAAACACAAATTGAAGACCACTGCCATAGAGCACATTTGATTTTTGGTGATGTGAGAAGACTTCATGATCCAACAGATTCCAATTTCAAGTCTGCCACTTGCTCACCATGTGGCACTGAGGATGGTATCTGCTTTTCTAAGCCTCAGTTTCCTCATTGCCATTAAGTCTGTTCTGACTTACAGTGACCCCTCCTTGGGTTTCCGAGGCAGTATGTCTATGGAAGTAGATTGCCCAGTCTCTTTCCAAGGAGTGGCTGGTGGATTCAAACTGCCAGCCTTCTAGTTAGCAGTCAAATGCCACACTTACACCTGATGGCACATTTAATGTGGTCTTCTTTTTTCCTTCTTCACTACATCTCACAACTGGTTGCATCTTTTTGCTTGGCAGTAGATGAAATGTCTACTCTCTCTAGAAATCTTGATCACTGCTTAAGTGGCTTGTTATTTTTTGTCACCTAGTGTCCTCAGAACTCAGTGGACTCCAGAACTGCACAAAACTGGCTCAATCAGTTAGCTAAGTGGCCGTGGGTAATAATTTAATCATTCTGATCTGCAGTTATCTCATCTGTTTTCCCACGTGTTGTCCCCGAGCCCGTCCCTCCCAGGTAACTGGCATGAGGCAGACGGTGTGCTCCAGGAGAAGGAGCCTCTGGGCACCAAGCAGTCTGGCCTGGGGGAAGCCCGGAGGATGGACCTGTGCGGCTCCTTCAGACCGAAACAGAGTCCAAGGCAAACCTACCTAGCAGTAGAGTTTAGAATATGGTCTTTGCTGAGACCTCTGGTCCCTGCCTCAGTGTTTTATCTTTCCATAAAATCAAACCAGTTGTCATTGACTGGACCCTAAATCATAGTGACCCCCTGTGTGTCAGAGTAGAACAGTACTCTGTAGGGTTTTCAATGGCTGATCTTTTGGAGATACATCACTAGGACTTTCTTCCTAGGTGCCTCTGGGTGGACTTGAGGATCCAACCTTACAGTTGAGTGCATTAGCCATCTGTATCACTTGAGTATCTTTCAAACTTCCTTAAATTCCATCACTAGGTCAGTTTGCCTAAAACTTGGCTTTGTACATATCACCTACCATGCAAAGGAGCTCTGGTAGCGTAGTGTCTAAGGCACTTGACTGCTAACCAGAAGGCTGGCAGTTCAAACCCACCAGCCACTCCTTGGAAGGAAGGTAGGGCAATCTACTTCCATAGTGATACGGCCTCGGAAACCCAAGGAGGGGTTGCTATGAGTCAGGCCGACTCAATGGCACGTAACAACAAAAACCATGCAAAAACTTTAACAGCTCCCACATATTCACAGCACAGGGTCCCCACTTCTAACCAGGATAAAAGTTCAGGACCCTCCACAATCTGATGTCATTTCCTTCTTCAAACTTAAATTCAACTTCTCTCTGGGAACTGGGAGCTCTGGTGGCATAGTGTCTAAGGCATTTGACTGCTAACCTCAGAAGAAAGATTGGGCAATCTACTTCTGTAGAGGTACCACCTCAGAAACTCAAGGAGGAGTCACTATGAGTTGAAAACGACTTGAGGGCAGTGAGTTTGGTTTTTTTTTGGTCTCTCTGTCAATTTCCCATTCTAGACAAGTTGGTCTCATGATTATTTCCTCAACAGGCCCTGTGCACTCTACTTTTCCATCTTTGTTCATGTCATTTTCCCTCCTTGGTTATCCTTTTCCAGTCTCTCTCTTTTTAAATGCTAAAATCAGTCGGCATTGAATCAAATCCAACTTATGGAGACTGTGTATGTTGGAGTAGAACTCTGCTCCAGAGGGTTTTCAGTGGCTGTGATATTTTAAAAGTAGATTGCCAGACTTTTCTTCTGAGGCACCTTTGGGTGGATTTGAACCTCCAGCTCTTTGGTTAGCAGTTGGATGCTTAACCATTTGTACCACCCAGGGACTCCTTTTAAAATGCTACACTTCCCATAAAGTCTGGTTTCTTCACAAAGTCTACCCTGACTTTTCTAGATTTTTATGATCAGCCTGCCCCAAATCCCACTTACTTTGTGCAGCACTTAATGTCATAAACACTGGTTAGTACTTGTTGTGGATTGAATTGTGCCCCCACCCCTCCCCGAATATGTGTTGGAATCCTAATCCCTATACTTGTGGATGTAATCCTGTTTGGAGACAGAGTTGTCTTTGTTATGTTAATCAGATCATATCTCAGTAGGGTGGGTTCTACATCTAATCACTCTGCATTGTAAAAAAGAGGAGATTAGACACAGAGACACACACAGACCCACACACTCTGGGAAAGATAGATGGTATCTGAGGATTGCCAAAGAACCAAGATATGCACAAGGCTGCTGACAAGGAAGGAATCAAAATAGCCAAGACCCTGAATTCAGGCTTTTAGCTTCCAGAACTGTGGGAAAATCAATTTCTGTTCTTTAAAACCATCCACTTGTGGTATTTCTGTTGCAGCAGCAGTAGGAAGCTAAGACAGTGGTGTTATCCTATATTATTCTTTATCTTTTTATCCATCATGCATGTAATTGTTCATGTCTTCCAGGAGTATTTTGTAAAACTATAATTCACTACACCAGTGTTACTTCTTGTTAGCATCAATATCATGAGAATTGAATGTCTTATGCTCCAGAGCTAGATCTCAAGAGCTATTTTTTTTTGTCTTTGTTGCCTAGGATGCAATACACTTAATAAACATTTGTTTATGATGATGATAATCCATTTAAGTCATAACTCCTCCCAGAGCATCCACTCTGGACATCACTCATTTGAATACAGTGGGTTTTTAAAACAAAACAAAAGTAATTCTTATCATCTATAGCCATACCTCATACTCCTAGGAAAAGAATATTCAGTGTAAGAGGGTATGCACTTTGGAATCAGATAATTCCAGCTCATGTTCTAGCCCTGAATGATCCCCCAAAACTTGTCTAACATTCCTAAGCCCCGTTTTCCTCAAAGACAAAGAATGATGGTGCTCATAGGGTTGTTGTGACAATTAAGTAATATTACTCATATACAACTGTTAATGTTTGGCACATGGTAGGTGTCCAATTAATGTATGCTTTCTTCCTGTTTCCTTTCTAATACAGATTTCAGACAATGCTTGGATATGTAATTTTCTTTCTTGAGTAGGCTTAAACAGACTTTCCTTGTTCAGCTCTGTAGACAAAAGAAAAACTTTTGCTGATGAGCTTAGTCTGGTCTTCAGTCAGCTTCTCTTCTAATCCATCTCCTATGACTCTCTCTCATTCTGCTCCAGCCGCATTGGCCTTCTTCTTGATCCCTAAATACTTGGCAGGCCTCTACTTCAGAGGCTTTGCACTAGTTGTTACTTTTTTTGCCTGAAATATGCTTACCACCGATATTCAGGCCATCCTTCTTTACCGCCTTCATAGCTTTGCCTCAGTATCCCTGGCAGTGCACTCTATTTGAAGTCGTAAACTTGCAAATTCCTCCCCTGCTCTTTCTCTGTAAGATATATCACCTTCTAATACATTATATAATTTACTTATTTGTTTTGTTTACTGACTGTCTTCCCATGAGAATAGGGATTTTTGTGTGGCTAATAAAGGAGCTCTGGTGGCACAGTGGTTAAGGCATTTTGCTACTTACCAAAAAGTTGGTGATTCAAACTCCCCAGCTGCTTAAGATTTACAGCCTTGGAAACTCTATGGGGCAGTTCTACTCTGTCCTGTAGGGTCACTATGAGTTACTTTAGTAGTATTCCTCCAAGATTACACCAGAGACTGGCACACAGTAGGTGCTCAGTAAATAACAGCACTATGAAACTCACAACCCTGAGAGAAGAGTCAGATCTGGAAACTTCCTCTTTGGTCCTCTTGAATTGGTTTGCCCTGTGGTAATATTTGGAGTCCCTGGTGGGTGAAACTGTGCTTAGCTGTGAACTGAAAGTCCATCCAGAGGGGCCTCAGAAGAAAGGCCTGGTGATTTGATTCTAAAAGGTCAGCCATCTAAAGCCTTATGAACAACCATTCTACTCTAACACACATGAATGAAGTCACTATGAACTGGACTCCACTCAAGAGCAACTGGTTTTATTGTTATTATTACTTATGGTATGGTAAGACTTGATGCCAAGGAGTCCCTAAAGTAGGGGTCAGCCAATCATGATCCACAAGCCAAATTTGGCCTACCACCTGTTTTTGTAAATTAAGCTTTATTGGAACACAGCTATGTGCATTTGTTTATGAGTTGTTTATGACTGCTTTGGGCCTATAAGGAGCTCTGCTGCCATAGTGATTAAAGCATTCAACTCTTAACCAAAAGGTAGGTGATTTGAACCACCAGATATTCCGTGGGAGAAAAATGAGGCAGTCTGCTTCTTTAAAGATTTACAGCCTTGGAAACTCAATGGGGCAGATCTACTTTGTCCTATAGGGTCACTATGAGTCAGAATTGACTTGATGGCAGTGGGTGTTGTTTTGTGTTTATGCACTACAAAGGCAGAGTTGAGTAGTTGCAATAGAGACTCTATGACCCACAAAGCCAAACACATTTATTATCTCTTCCTTTATGGAAAAGTTTGCTGAGGCATGCCTTAGAGATTAAGTGAACTTGTTCTACTGTGAAGGCTTACAGGTTGTGGCATCTAGGAGTTGCTGCTGAACTTTCGGTAAGCCTTGCACATTGAAATTTCTAACTTTATCTCTTTAGCATTTGCAAATTTATACCCTTCTTCTGGAAAGAGATATAGTGGGGTGTGGTGCAATGAGTTCTTACCTGAGCAGTGCACACCTGGCTGCTGACAGGTGAGGAGACACTGTGCCCTTCTCCCTGAGTGCTGGAAGATGAGGGTAAGAAGTAATGGTTGTTGGGTGATGGAGGCAAACTGATATGCTGTGGGCTTTTCAGAGTCCCAAGTGGGGAATGCTGAGGTGAGCACTGAGGGCTGAGAAATGTGGAAGAAAGTACATTGGTCTGACCAGAGGACTCCACACAATGTGTGCCTCCAAGGGGTAGGAGTTGAGCAGCTTCACAGGGTGTCTGTTGAATCTCTGAGCTGTTGCTTTGCCTTTTCACAGATGTCTGCTGGGATGATGCAAAAGGACAACTGGAGATAGCATCTTCCTGCTTGATGGAGGTAGCCAAGAAAGGCAATGGGTTCTTCTCTGAGCAGTTACTCCTTTTTTGTTTCTGAAGCTGCATCCTCAGTTCCTCCACATGCCTCTGTTCTTGCTGGAGTTTCCAGGTGAGCTCATTTATCACCTTCTGCTTCTCCACCAGCATCTTGTCCTTTTCCGAGTCCAGCCCATCCAGCTCTGAGGGAAGAGAGCCCCCATTCAGACTGCTCATGAGGCTTTCTTCTGTGCAGACGTGAACTGGGGATGAGTGCAGGGTGAAGGATGGGGAGGCATCGTTGAAAGTATCTGGCAGAGACCCAGCTACCGAGAGGTCAGAGGAGGCGGGGGAGATGGGAGGGCTGGAGCTGGTGCTACCAAAGTGGTAGAAGCCATTGGATACGGCGCTGGTGGAAGGGGAAGACTGGTAATTAGGCAGAGTGCTGGTTGGTGTAACAGGAAAGGTGACAGTCGTTATATCACCGAAGTTTGGCACAGAGTTTCCAGAACAGTCCTGGAAGGGCCGCAGCCGCTCCATGAGGGCTGTTTTGGTGCCTGACACTGGTAAACCTCGTATTCGAAGCTGTTGTCTTAATTCTGAGACCTAAAGGAAGCAGGATATTGTTAGTTTGCTATTTTATGACAGTATCTTTGAAAAATGTACGTCTCATTAAATGGGCTTTAAAACATCAAAAATACAATTTTACAATATGCATTTTACTTTCTTATAGTTCTTTCTAGTCCCTTCCCGACACCCTTATAAAT